TCCACATAATTTATTATTTTAAATATTTATTTTTTTAATATAAATTTATAATGATAAGGTATATTTAATACACCTTCCTCACCCCATTCTTACTACAATTCCATAGTTGCGTAAAACTTTTGAAAATTTATCAAGTGAGGACAAAAACATCTAATCTAATAGATCTAATGCCGATAAATGATACTTACTTTTTCTATATATATTAAGGATGGCAACGGGTCCCCACAGGGGCGGGACCCCCTCCCCATCCCCATCTCCGTCAATGGCGGGTACGGGGATCCCCGCGGGAAATTTTGGCGGAGGATCGAAAATTGCCTCCGTCTCCATCCCCGCGGAGAATAATAGGTCCCCGCGGGTATTCGGAGTCCCCATCATTCACTGCTTATTAATCAAAATTCCAAAAGAAAATAGCAATTTTACAGAATCCTATATAGCAAACAAAGATGATCAAGATCACTCTTTTAAAACAAGCTGGAGGTGAGCGGTGGTGAGTGAGGAGCATTGCTGACTTGCAGTGATGGGCCGAGACACGATGCCACGGTGAGAGGCGGGCTGAGATGACCCAACAGCAGCCTTGGAGCTCAGCTGGAGGTGAGCAGTGAGCGTTGCAAGGCAGTAGGGGCAAGGGGTTGTAGTGACGGCGAGGTTGAGAGCTGAAGGGAATCACTGTGAAGGTCCGTGGAGATGAGGGCATAGTTTGAGCAAGAGTGTGGCAGAGGACTAGAGGAGAGGAAACTTAGAGACTGGCTGGAGAGACCGATCGAGAGAGTGACCGACTGAGAGACGACATGGTGAGTCGGTGAAAGGTTGAGAGCTGAAGGGAAGCACCGATTCATAGTGATCCGTGGAGATGAGGGCAGAGTTTGAGCAAGAGTGTGGCAGAGGACTAGAGGAGAGGAGACTTAGAGACTGACTGGAGAGGAGAGATTGACGCCAACCGAGAAAGGAATGAGGAATCCCAATTCCCAAATTCACAATTTGCAATTGCAAGAAGCGGCAAGCAAAAGAGAGACTGATTGAAATGTCCTCCTGCTAGGGTTATATGTAAATTGAGCCTGTAAATTGGGCTGTAAATTGGGGCTGGGCAATTAGGTTTAGGATTATTAGATTCACAAAAAAAATTGGGTTGGGCTAAGAGTTGAGTTTGAAAAAATTGATAAAAGAATGAGTTGTGAAATTTAAGTTATGTTGGTATTGGGTTAACTAATTAAATTGGATAAGTAAAAATTAATTGCTAATATATGTACAAAAAACATATATATATAAACAAATTTATATTTTTTTTTTATTTCATATGGATCCCCACGGTTCCCCATGGGGTGGAGAAAATTCCCCGCGAAATTTCACGGGTAAAAAATTACCTCCATCCCCACCCCACGGGTAAGAATATTCTGAGAATCTCCATCCCCATGGCGGGTATCTCCGCGAAGCTCCGCGGATCGCGGAGAAAATTGCCATCCTTAATATATATATATATATATATATATCTTTAAAATATATACATTACATGGGCTATTAGCTCTGGATCTCTGCCCTAGTGTAGATTCGCCCATGACAGCATTTCTTCTTCTGGTTCTGCTGCTTGATCTGCTAAATGCTGTTGTCATGAGGAGAAAGGATGTCTCAAATATGAGAAAAGCAGCTACAAAGTGGGAGCCAGACGAGAACAGTCCTGAATTAAGTTAAGAAACAGGGTAACATTTGAAATTAAATATCATGCTGAACCAAATCCAACCTCATTCTCTGAATTAACATCACAATGAGTTCCATTGCCACATTTAAGGCATGGTATGATCTATTCTTTTATCTAAACACATCCCTGTCAATTATCTGGTGCAATTCAATGCAAAATAAAACAGGTTGGCATTCCCAGATAATATTTTGGTAGGAAAATTCAAAATGGTTGACCTCGAGAAATTCAAGAACATATACAGATATACCACAGAAAAGCTTTAGCAACATCCATGCTTCGCATTATTAGAGGTAACATTGACATGAAAAATTTTAGCAGGCATCAAGATCTCGGCATGGTGGAGGTTTGGGTTCACTTAGCAAGGTAGCATTCCCTCCTTCTGGTCCACTCCTGACTCGCTTTGGATTTTGTGTGCCATGCTGGGACATGTAAATGAAATTTAAACATATAAACATTTAGGATATGGCAATAAAATAAAGGTTAAATGCTAATTTTGGTCCCTCAACTTTAAAGTTTTGCACAATTTTCATCCTTCAACTTTTTTATGCACTTTTTTGGTCCCTTAACTATGAAAAATGCACTTTTTTGGTCCCTTAACTATGAAAAATGCACTTTTTTGTTATTTCGTCAATTAATCCATTATGTCTATCTAAATCTGCACGTTTTTAGTCCCTCAACTTCTAATATATGCACATTTTTCGTCCCTCAACTTAAAAAATGTGTATATTTAGACAAATTTAATAAACTAACTGACAAAAAAACTAAAAAAGTATATTTTTCATGGTCACGGGACCAAAAAGTACATAAAAAGCTGAGGGATGAAAATTATGCAAAACCTCAAAGTTGAGGGACCAAAATTGGCATTTAACCTAAAATAAAATACAAAAAATTAGTCTAAGAAAAATAAAAAATTACTACTTCTAGAAGCTTACCGGTGGTTTCTCTCCTCTTCGTAACTTCTCAACTATCTCAACAACTTTTTCTGGAGTAACATCTTCCTGCATTTGAGATAGGATGCTTGAAATAAATTCCAAGAGCTTTGTTTTGCTAGAGCATAACAGCGCCAAAACTCAGTCAACATCAACAGAAACATCGTGGACTTACATAGTAATTGTAAGTATATCCTTCAGACCCATTGGAGTAATCAGCCACTGTAATCATAGGAGCATTGACGCAACATCCCTGCACAAAACAAACTAGTAATATCAAGCTACATACCATAGGACTTTAATCTCCTGTCCAAACCCCTTCCATCTAGCAAATACCGGGGTGGTTAGAAGAAGTAATACATGCACTATAGGTTCTACTGTTTTTAACCCAGTGCAAACTTTAACTAAAAAAAATTTCTGGATCCTTTTCACAACTATATTCCAAATATTTTTGTCCAATGAACCTCTGGAATCTGTAATTACTGGCTATTCCATTATCAGCATTTGGAAAGAAAATACCAGTGCTAAAGCTAGTTAACAGATGAAGATTCTGACCCAAAACAAGTTAAAAGGAGGGGACAAAACTTACCATGCATTCCATTTCTCCAACAGAGAATAGACCATCCTTTGTTACTTCTGCACATCTCATATAACAGATGCTTAGTCGCAAATGATATTTTATATTTCAAAGCCAATTTAAAGCACCAAAACAGATTATGCATGCATAACTGACCATTGCGCTTAACTCCCAAGTGTTTGAGTAAAGCCTCTTCAATTTCACGTGAACCACGTATCATACAAGGTGTTGTGCCACAAACCAAGAGATGGTACTTTCCAACCTGAAAGAAAGCTCAATAAACTTGTGCATGTAAGTTACAACATTTTAACTAAGGAATGGCACATAGACATGGGCAAATACAATAAACATGCAACTTCTCACCTTTGTCCTATTAAACATTGAATAAAATGTAGCAACCTCATATACACGGATAGGAGCGACTTCTATAATCTTTGCCACCTGTACAATTCATAAATTCCTGTCAAATGATTCTTTCAATGATAAACAGACCATGGCAAACACCAGCCTTAAATGATTTCCAACAAGAAAGAAATAGTGCATTGCATAAGCAATGGAGATGTCAGAGGTACACAATTTGCCGCTTCAAAATCCAAATTAATTCTGTTAAGCAGCTTGGAGAAAGGAGAGAATATAGCAGGAAAAATAAGTATAATGGGAAGTGTGAGGGTTATCTTCTCTCAAGAGTTCAGAAGTTAAAAAATAAAAAATAAACAAATAAAGAGAGAGAGAGAGAGAGAGAGAGAGAGAGAGAAGCAAGTATAAGAAAACTTATAGTTATGTACTTATGTTTGGGGAGAAAAACACTTAGATGCAATACAACAGAACCTTAGTATGGCAAGAAATACATTTCCTCCACTTATGAGTCCTAAATCCTAATTTAGGCACTGATCAAACTTTAAAAAACATAATTACGTATAAACCCAATATCAGGTTTGATTAATCATACATTTAAAATTTTTCCTCAGTTATTACCAAAAGAATATAAAAGAAGTATAAGTATAGGCCTTTCTGCAAGCGAATTGCCGAATTTAGAAGAAAAGGTTAACATAAACACGCAGGCCTTTTCACAAGTTCAAAGACAGTTTCAAAGAGAGTCTAGTCGATGTCAGCACCATGTAGAAAGTGCCAATATAGAATGAATAGATGGTAAGACAAACATAACTTGGTCACATGACAAAACATGATCGGTAACTGTGCTTCAATATCTCAATACCAAGTCAGCATACCTTAAACAGCCACATCTTTAAAAAATAAAAAATAAATAAAAATAAAAATAAAATGAACAAAAGGTTCAAGTTTTCTAGCAATATGATGGAGGTTAACAATTACCATATCCTAAAAGAAAATAAAACCAAACATTGAACAAGATTTCACTTAGCTTAAGAAGAAATTTCTCAGAAACAACAAATTATGCTGACAAACATCTTTGCATCTAGAAGTGGTTCCTTATCATGCCTAATGAAATTATTAATCCAATGATTCTAATCTTTCATATTTTATGAAACAGTACATTTTGTAAAACTTGAAGCCAAAAGTGCTAGTACAAGTATTGCATCATATCAAATACCAGTCCACATGGATTAATGCCACATACCGCATTCATTGCTGAAACAGGAAGCCACCCTCCATGCTGCTGCTGTGCAAGATCTAGAAGAGGAATAACTGCAGATTGCTTGTAATTGGATGGATAATGAGATAATATCTCCCTGACCTATGAAAACATAAAGTTACAATTGTAACATAATAACATATTAGGATTTATAACTTCTAGATAAGTTAAATAACAGTCCTATGACTCCTATCAGAAAGATAAGCCAAATAATTGTGAGACACAATTGCTGATCCATTAAAAAGTGATACTAGATATGCTTTCAATCTTCTAGCTTTCTTTTATTTGTTTTTTGTCCAAAGAAGCATGGGGACAATAATTAGCCCCACTTCACCAGAACAGCAGAAACAGTTCTATACTTCAACTCTCTGTTGCACTCCTGTAAGCCCGCTAGAGACTGGTTTACATAACATGATAAGAAGAACAAGGAGAAGAAAGTATATAGTGAAAGACTGGTTTACTTTATTTCTTTGTTGCTCTATGGAGTATGCATTGACCATACTCCATAGAGCAAATAGTGAAAGACCTCAAAGATACCAAGAGTCCAGCAAAAGGTGATAATTATATCAAACAACATAATGAGGAAAAAGTTTTGGTTCCAAGAGAGAATAAAACTCTTTGGTTTATTTAAAACCTGAAAAATCCATCCTCTCCCAAGAGAGAATAAATTATTTGGTTTATTTAAACCTGAAAAACCAATCCTCAAGCAAAGCCCAAACCAACCAGGACAATTCAAGGAAATGACCATCCACACAAAGATTTGGTGTGTAGAAAACATGTATAGAATTTACTTGAACACCAAGTAGGACATAAGAAATTACCAAAGGCCTAGAACCTCCAAATTTTCTACATAAAACGAAATTATAAATATGCATAATAACCAGTCAATTGCCAAGGAATAATATTTCAACTTGAAAATTCAAGGGTAAAATTACTCGTGCTCTTCAGTCAAGGCTACTGGAATAGAGTTGCTGTAAAATTTTAGCTCGCATACAAATTCTTAGTTTATCACAAGGTTGACAATCAAAATAGTTTTCTTTTCTTAGCCAGTTTCAATCCCGGGGTTGTACATTGGAGTGATGAATGCTTAAAACTAAAATGGGGCCTCAAATTTCACATTATTTGAACAAGCATGATATTACAGAGAGTGATACAGCAATCACGATGTGATCCATTCTGATAAATTAAAATTACTAATGGCATGTCAGCCTTTATTTTAGTTTTGACCTTCCAATAAATTTTCTTCTTTTTCATTTTTGGTTCAAATGACTTTCCAATTAGCAGCAGAGTCAGGCTTTCCAATCCACATTCCACAGTTCATGGAAAATGTAGTTCAATCAATAACATACAGAAGGATCAAGTAAGGAGGTTAAATTAAATGCAAATATTTGAGCTAACCTTTTCTTTGTTCTTATCAGTGAACTCCCATGGAAGCTCAGGATTGTTATCCGGAGAATCAATGTGCTGAAACCAAATAACAAACAAACAAAACCATTCAAATCGCAAATTGCAAACATACACGATCAAACTCCAGTAAAATTGCTTGTTTGAAGATACAAACTTACGTAGTTCAAGGCAGTTGAAAAGGATCGAGCTGCCTGCAGAGGAAATGGAGAAACAGAAACGATTAGAGAATGAGATCGAAGACGTGTTTGGATGAGTAGAAAATGAGTGAAAAATTAAAGAGGATTAAGAAAACAATTGCCTGAGGTGATTGCCGGAAAGCTTGCCGGATCTCGAGAAGACGCTTGGACGCGAGACGACCTAGCATTTTTCCGGTTCCGGCCACCTTAGCTCCGAGAAGAGTGAATGAGCAAGACGAATTGGGGCATTGAGAAATGAATTCAGGAGGCGTGCGTATTGCGCACTGGGAGCTCCATCAGCATGGCTCAGAATGGCTCAAAGTCGAGCGGACCGATTCCTTGCTTTGGGCCTAGCCCATTTGTAGTCCAGTTCCAAACAAAAACCGGCCCGATACAATGCTACGAAACAGATATTTTGGGAAGAGGGAAGGCAACCGGCGTCGGAGGGCTAAACGGCGCGGCGCGGATGACGGAAAATGAGAACAATGGCGTTGGAACAAACACTGGTTTCCACTAGGAAGTCCGTCGATTTTGTCCTCAAAAACCGTTTTTCGGCTACCAGATTTTCGGCTCCGACTTCACCATTCTCTCTGCGGTTCTACTCGGATGTTCCTAGACGTTCGAATTTCCGTCGCAGCTTGAAATGCTCTGTGGATTACAAGGACCAAGGTTACGACTTTCAAGCGTCTTACGCGAGACCACCGGAAATTCCGTGGAGCAAGGAGCTGTGTAACACGGTGCATCTCATTGGTGTCGTCGGCAACCCAGTGGAAATCAGGCACCTTTCCTCCGGAAAGGTTGTTGCTTGGACTAGATTCGCTGTCAAAAAGTCGTCCACAGACAGCGCCTGGTAAGTAACTACACATGCTGCCTTAGTCTCTGTAAAGGAATGATTATTTTGGTTCTGTTAGCTCTTTGTGTGACTTTTGGATAATTTAATGTTATGAAACTAGAATTTTTTTTAAAGTAGATTGATAGCTGTTGGGTTGTTTAGATTATTGTTGGTGATTTACGGATGGAAAGAAAGGGCTTGGAATGAAATTTTTTCAAGAAGTATGGAAGTAAAGAGGTACTGATGGGAAAAGGATGGTTTTGCATCAGTGTACCTATTTGCATTAAGGATAAGTGTTGTTTTGGAGACTTGTTTGCGGCAATGCGCATGAATGTCTGCTTGTAATTGCAGCAGAACGCATTTCCAAAGTTGAAACACTGCTGTCCTATAGAAAGAAGATATGGTAACTACACTATGGTCATATCAATTACTTGGATCTACAAAAAGGGCTTCAAATTGTTTGGAACAATGGAATTTGTTCCTTCTTTGAACTTTTAATGTTACTCTATTTGTACCATATAGATCTTTGGGCTGTTATTAAACGTTTATTCTCAAAGCTTCATTAGTTGAGAACGCACAATTGTTGTTCAAAACATTGGCTGTTGTTACTCCTGCCTTATTTTCATTCACTGGAACTCTAATTTAATTGAACAATGCAATCATAAGATGACAATTCTCTATGATCAAGCTACTTGGACTGCCTTTATGATGATGCAACTTATACTACTAGTAGTGTTAGCCTCATCATGAGTACCCACGATTGCCCTTGGAATCAAATATCTAATATTATTAATTCAGAGTTCAAACTTCCTTGTTTGTGGTCATCTGTTTTTCAAGCAAAAATATTTAACAATAGGAAAGTAGCATTCTTTGTTGATAGGTATATTAATCATTGACCATCTAATTAGGCTACACATGTTTCATTTTCTTTATGTTTTTCTTTCTTAATTATTATTCCATTAACATCTATAGTTGGTAAAAGATGGAATACTTCAAGCACCTCTTTGAAGCCAAAAGAAATCATATTTGCTGTTTTCTAGGATCAATTTGACATTATGGGATGAGCTTGCAAACATTGCTTATCAGCATGTGGAGAAGGGCCAGCAAATATATGTTAGTGGTCGGCTGGTCTCAGATACAATTGAAGGTGATGATGGGAAAAAGCAGACGTACTACAAGGTATTCTAATTTATGGTCATCAGGCTATCTCTTATTCTGCCTATTAGATCATTAAAACATGTTGTGATTATCTTATTCTTTTTATCTTTTGTTATCTAATGCAGGTAGTTGTCCGGCAACTAAATTTTGTTGAAAGGAGTTCCATCTCAATGTCCTCATATGATCTTGACTCCAACTGGACATCAGGTAAGTTATATTTTATTAAATGTAATCTTCACTCCCAACCCCCATCTCTCCTCTTGTGAGTTGAATTGAATGGTGTGTCTTGTAGGTAAAAGATTTGGCAGTTATGGTGCAAGTGCAAGTTCTATAGAAGAACTATGGCAAGCATTTTTTGCTAATCCCGTGGAATGGTGGGATAATAGGAAGAGCAAGGTTCTCATTTCGTCTCTTTTTGGAATCTTTTTAGGCTTATATACGTGTTTCTTAGCACTGCATGACGCCAAACTGCATTTTTTTCTGCCACACTTATGTATACACCCTGTAATCAATGTGCAATGAAGAAAACCAGATATAGATTGCAATGCTGCTAATCTGCATGTATCTAGGTCATTAATCTAAATTATAAAATGTTAGTAGCAAGGCAAGAATTTGCTTTCCTAACTGAAAAAGGATAATGAATGTTTTGAAATGTAGAGATGGGTGAGTACATCTTACTATTTATGTTAATTCTGTTATGGACTAGTTTGATAGGACTGATCCAACTTGATTTAGACACCTTAGGATTACAATTTTTACTTTTCCTTAATTTGCAGAGAAACCCAAAATATCCCGACTTCAAGCACAAGGATAATGGAGAAGCCCTGTGGATTGAAGGAAGGAATAATCCATCCTGGGTGAAGTCTCAATTGCAAATCCTAGATTCCAGAACAGGCTCACTTAGTGATCGGGATGAAAGGATGCATGTGAAATCAATGTCCGCTGATGAAGTCCTGCCCTTTTAACGGCCTGTTGTGATGGTTTTGGAATATTGCCGAGATGGGAGTGCTTCATATGAATGGTACCTGCATTTTGTGGTGGGAAATTTTCTTCAAATCTTGCTAGCCTTAATATATATATTCCATTTGGTAAGATTGATGTATTCTTCTCCATGGAATTAAATCTGTTTCATTTGACCCTCTGGAAGTTGATCGGTTATTATAATAGAGTTATTTTCTCTCGATCGATCTTTGAGCGGCAATTATCATGCATAATAACAATTCAATGATATGCCGTTGACCTGAGAGAAATCCATCCAAGAATAGGCTCTTGGTTTGAACACTACTTTTCTGGTGTTGCTTTTACTTTGCTTTCCTCCCTTGCCTTCCAACTGTTCACCAGCAATTTCTAGCTGTTGTTTGAAATTTCTGGCTCAAAAACCCCTAACTGTTGGGATTTTTTCCTCAATTGGGGATCATCTGATGAAGTTTTGACCCAAGATACAGTCTTATTGACTTATTGTAATTAGTGAAACAATGAGAAATACATGCAATCCCCTGTATAGGTTTCTAACATTTGTGTAAATCTTATTGTAACATATATTTGTATATCCTCACAACAAAGGAAAAAAAACTTAAGCAATTTTCCCTTTGTACATTTGGACCTCAGGGTTTTTTTTTTTTATTTGGAGTGGGGGGGGGGGCGTTGTATATTCTTCTTCTGCTTCTCTGTACCACATACTGTATTAGAAAATTAAGAGAAACTCGGACATTCAAAGACTCAGGGACCAAAATAAGCTTTAAAAATCCAACAAAATTGCCTCTCTTGCTGCATCTTGGTAAAACATTTCGGTCCTTTAGGATTTCATGCACTGCAGCCCAAGCCTCTAGCTTCTGAACCCTTCATGATTCTCAACTTCTTGCAGGAAGATATGAACATTCTGTAGCAGGAAAAGATACAGGAATTTGTAAGCTTTGGTGAAGAAAAAGGGAAAACATTTAGCCAAAGAAAGATAGACAGCAAAAGAGAACTTACTCCCACGGAACATCTCCAACAAGCATCCAGTCACCATCTTTGTCTTCATATGTAGGAGCATATTCAGATCCATGATACCCTTCCCTCTCTGAGTAGGCACCAATGGTGAGCTTGAACATGTTTTCCAACGCCTTGAGGAGCTCTGAGTAGCTTCTGTAAACCCCAAGATCTATCTTCCTGAGATAAGGAGCTCCATCCATGCTTACTTTCACAAACTTCCCAACTCCTTCACCTTCGTTTTTCTGAAAACAATTTTTCCTGTAAGATCTGACCGGCGGCCATCCAACAATATGTGCCCTGCAAATCAAAATCAAACTTAATGTTAGATTCCCTTTTTTCTTTTCTTTTTTTTTTTTTACCAAACCCTAGTCAAGTTCCTTCCACACCGCGGCAAAAACACAAGACACTTACTTTGCAGGAGGTGGAGCAGTGTCTGTGACTTTTGAACTGCCCTTAGACTCCTCGGAAATCTCCGATGAAGCTCTCTTGTGGCCCCTAACACAAGGAGTCGATTGCTTCTCAGTCTCATCACTACCCGGCAACCCTAACCTCAACTCAGTTGCCTTGAAATTCAAATCGCTCTCGTAACTCACTGATCTCTCCATTTCCATTGCAAAAATTCCTTCCAAATTTCCGATATCAAAATATCTCGATTCAGATCAGATTACGAACTTCCGAACCTGATTTCTTCCGTAGGAAGGAGTCTGCAACGAAATGACGATGGGATTGTACAGAAGAGTTTGTTTTATAGGGGAGGCTTGTCTACGGGCGACTTGTGCATTAAACTTCATCCACGGAAATCAAAGCCCACGCTCGCCTCCTCCACGCGGCGTGGGATACAGCTAATCACATGGAGCTTTTCCGGTGGGACCTGCGCAACACGTTCAGTCAGTCGCGTGGTCGGAAGGTTTCCGTTTCGAGGCAGCAACAGATTTGGCTGCCGGTCACATGTGGGGCCTCGTGGAGATTGGTGTTCCGAAATAAGGGAACAAGAACAGCCGACGCCATTATACACTGTGGACCAGAACGGACGGTTGAGATGCGTTTCGGGGGATGAGAGGGGGAGCTTATTTAGAAACGTTGGATCTGGCGATGGAGATTTGGTGATGAGACAACAACACGTGGAAAAAGGTCCCACGTGGAAGATCTTGATTGGGAGGAACAATCCCATGTGGGTTGCAACTGGTGGATCCCTTTTAATTGATTAGATTTATAATCAACTCGATAAGACATGCCACGTGTAACGGCACGCGACATTGTTATCTACCCATTTCCTATTT